GAAGCACCTCACCTCTCAGCCAGATGCACAGCAAGCACTTAGCCCAGCCTTCACCCTCGCAGCTCTGGGACGGTGGCCTGTCCCTCCCAGCTAAGCTAACTGTGGAGAACTGAACAGTGTGCCCCCAAATTCCTGCCCGCCCGGGACCTCGGAACGTGGCCTTCTTTGGAACTAGCGTCTTTGCGGGTGTAATCAGTTATCGTCAGGGCATACTGGAGCAGCTGTTTCTGTTGTTAGTCGCTGCAGAGTGGATTCTGACTCGTGGAGACCCCGTGTGCAGAGTAGAACTGCTGCATAGGATTTTCAAGGCTGTGAGCTTTTGGAAGCAGATCGTCACACCTGTCTTCTGTGGCGCCTCTGGGTGGGTTTGAACCACCAACCTTTCAGCTAGTAGTCAAGCACCTGATGGTTTGCACCACCCAGGGGCTTCCTGGAGCAGGGTGGGCCCTAAATCTGTTGACAAGTGTCCTTACAGGAGCCACAGAAAGAGCAAAGGATACACAGACACCGGGGAGGTGGCCGTGTGAAGACGTTCTGCAATGTGGCCACCAGCCAAGGAATAGCCGGAGCCCCGAGAAGCTGGAAGAGGCAAGGAAGGCCCCTCCCCAGAGCCTCCAGAGGAGCGCGGTCGGGCAGCCCTGGGCTGCGCACTTCTGCCTCCAGACCGAGAGAGCACGCTGTGTTCCTTTAAGCCTCCTGGCCTGTGGCGCTTTGATACGGCTGCAAGTCCAGCCAGGGTGTCAGGTCCCCGGCGTGGACAGAGCCCTGGCACCTGTGTCCAAGCCGGGGGTCCAACTGGGGGCGGGGAGACACACATGGGGAGCTTCCCTGGCCAGCCCCCGCCTACTTCTTCCCTTGCAGTGAGGTTCTTCCCCCAGCCTCACGTGTCGCAGCTGCCGCTAGCCCGGCTCCCCCCTGCCCCCACTCGAGCGCAGGCCCCGCAGGGGCGCGGTGAGCGCGCTGAGAGGACAAGGGAGCCACAGACAAGTGCACCGACAGTCGCGGGGGTCACGGGGCGGGGGGTTCTGAGACCCCCAGAGGCGTCTCTCAGAGCAAGTGAGAGAGGGAGGGGGCGAGAGCAGGGAGGGGAGCAACCGTCCCCCTTCCCTTGATGACCAAGGTGGGGGTGCAGATCCCTCCTCCCTAGAGGGTCCAAGGTGTGACCCCAACATGCCTCCTTCTACACACACACACATACACAGACACAAGGTGTGAGCCCTGACATGGCCCCTTCTATACACACACACTCACGAACACATGAGGTGGGACACACTGTCTCCTACACACACGCAGGCACACACACACGCAGGCACGCACATGCAGGCACGCACACGCAGGCACGCACACGTAGGCACACACGTAGGCACACACACGCAGGCACACACACGCAGGCACACACGCAGGCACACACACGCAGGCACACACGCAGGCACGCACACGCAGGCACACATGCAGGCACACACACAGGCACACACACGCAGGCACACACGCAGGCACACACACGCAGGCACACACACGCAGGTGCACACACGCAGGCACACACACGTAGGCACACATGTGAGGTATGACCCACGACACACCACCCGTACACACACGCACACCAATATGTGTGCATGGACAGCTAACGCATGTCCTCGCCCCAGCGGCCTGGAGGAGGCATCTGCCGTGTGGGAGCGTTACAGCCCCTGAGAGGGACCTTCCTGCTTCTGGGCTTTCAGCACCCTGCCCCTGGAGCAGGGCGCCTCTGCCAGGCTGGGAGCCAGCCTCACTCAGAGGACCCCGCCCTGATCTGCCAGAGTGGCCCCCGGCCCAGGGGGCAGTGTCTGTGTCGTGTGGGGATGTGGTTTCGCCGCCCTGCTGGGTAACCGCTCCTGGGAAGGCGTGTGGGGAGTCAACTGTCACCCTGGGTCTGTCAGGCTCCTGGAGCCCAGGAACGATACCTCTCCAGCTCCTCTGGGGGCACGTGGAGGGGAAGCCAGGCTTCCGCTGACCCCCATCAGGCTTGTGGCGCCCAGGCCCCCACAGCCTCACTGCTCCCCTTGTGAATGGGCAGCACTCACCCATCTCACCAGGAGGGTGGGCTGTCTGGGGGTTGCCTCTGAGGGAAGTGCTGGGCAGGGACCAGGTGTGAATGGAAACCCTGATGCCCCTACAGCGCCCAGCCCTCCATGAACAGACGTCCACTTGGTTTACTCCCGTGACCAGCTTTGCTCTTCGGAAGAAAGTCAGTGAACCATAAAGACAACACCTGTGCCCCCTCGGGCTCAGGGCCGCGGCCCTTCGGCTGCCCCTCCCCTGGGCCTACCCTGGCCACGGTCTCCACACACAGTCCACGTGCCCGACGAAAGCCCTGAAACTGGACGATGGGCTGCCCAAGCCCACCAAGGGGGTTTTCAGGGGTGCATGCGGGGCACGAGGTGGCTGGCACCACCCCACCCCCGTCCATCAGCTCTGTGACCCTGGGCAAGCTTCCTCATCTATAACCAGGGACGAAAACACTTAAGCAGCAAAAGAAAAAAAGAGAACCACGAGCTTCTGTAATGTTCTAAGGAAGTGCTGTCCACGGAAACGTGAGCCTGCACAGAGGGACCCATGGAGTGTAGCGGTTAATGAGGTAAGCTGATTGCCTTTCCTCCACCAAAGGTCAATCACGACAGAGACGTGGCAAGAGCGCACCGCAGACTCGGGGCCACAGAATCCTCCACAAAACTTTAATACTGATATGTGGATGCCTCCACACAGAAAAGAATTTCTCTGCCCCGCGGACCCGAGGCTGGGAGCATTATGCCAGCGGGGTCCCTGGTGGCCCTCCCGGGCCCCCCGACCAGCCAGCCCAGGGTCTGTCCATGGCTTCGTCCTTACCGCAGGTCCGGGTGCTCCAGGGCTTCCCCGAGCCGGCCCTCCTGGCTGCCAGAACCTCCTCCAGCTGCAGGGAGCTGCAGGGAGGGTCCAGCGTGGTGGGCATCCCGTGTGAGCTGGGGACACACAGCACGGTGTGAGCGCAGAGTCGGCCCGAGGAGGGGCCTGGGGCAGCACCTCCTGACAGTGACTCCACCTTTCCTGCCCCTCCTGTGGCCGGAGGGTCAGGGCCCAGGCGGGAAGGTGGCTCCAGGAGCCCCAGGGTCCCTTTGCTCTCCTGGCCCTGCCTGGCTTGGGGACAGCCTGCGAGGACTTGCCAGTCTCCAGCACCCAGGATGTGTGGATCTACTGGTCCACCTTGGTGCCTAGCACCCCGAAATTAATCTCTCAGAAAAGTCTCACCCGCCCGGGCCCCCTAAGCAGCTTCTGGAGGAGAGAGATGGCGGAGAACAAGAAGTGAGCCGATGCTGCCCCCTGCTGGCCACAACAAGTCAGTTCACCGACACAGACAGAGCCACAGCCCAGTGGTCGGGGGACAGGACCCCAAAGGACCACGACTCACACCCCGTGAAGTCAAAGGAGGTGTCAGTAGGGTAGGGTGGGTACGCATCCCGGGGGGTGACCGGCAGGGGAGGAGGGCATCAGGGCCAAAAAACCCTCTGCTGTCGGGTCGATTCTGACTCACAGAGACCCCATGTGACAGAGTAAAGCTGCTCCATAGGGTTTCCCTGGCTGTAATCTTTATGGAAGCAAATTGCCACGTCTTTCTTCCGTGGCACCACTGGGTGGGTTCAAACCGCCAACCGGGGACCATGACATCAGGGCAAGGGACCAGGAAGCACAAGGCTTTGTGGACTGGTGGTGCTGGGGCTTCGGGCACAGGACCCAGACGTCCAAGTCAGTAACCCGCACACAACTAAGTCTACCGACAGCAGCCTGGAATGGGCGCAGCTGGCGCTGGCCCCGAGGGCTTGGGGCCCACACAACACAAAGCAGCGTCTGAAGGGACCCCTGGGAATGCCCACCCATCATCAGGGGCTGGGGCGGGCATGAGGGCCTACTGTGCATGGCCCAGACAGAGGAGTGCCCAGAAGCCACCCTGTGACATGGGTCCCTCAGCCCTGGCAGGTGTCAGAGCCTGCACGACTTGGGGCTTCCCCGAGACGCATCAGGAGCTGCGTTATCCATTCACCCAACCACGTCCCGACTCCTGGCCCGGGCGGGCCCGCGCAGGCTGAGCACTGGGGCGTGCCTCAAGGCACCCTACGGACAGCGTGCAGGGGGAGCTCACAGATTTACCTGCCCGCGAAGGTGCTCACGGGGCGGAAGGAGCCCGAAGCTCTCGCCAGCCTCTGCTCAAGTGCAGAAGGTCCGTACCTGGTGAGCTCTGCAGAGACAGGTACCATGACTTCCCTCTGTGGGCCGAGGGAGGGCAGGGGCGGGCAGGGGAGCCGGGACAGTGCCCGGGCTAGGGCGACAGCATGTGAGCCTCCTTCCCCAGGGCCAAGACAGGGGTGGAATTTAGCGTGGGGCATGGGCTGTGCCCGCAGCATCACCAGCGTCACCTCCTCCAATGTGCCGGACAACTAACCACTTGCCGTGAAGTCAACTCTGACTCACGGCAGCCCCGTGCGTGACTCACGGCAGCCCCGTGCGTGGCTCACGGCAGCCCCGTGCGTGACTCACGGCAGCCCCGTGCGTGACTCA